TGAGCCCCAAGCCCTAAGCCCTAAGCCCTAAACCCTATAAGCCCTAAACCCTGAACCCTAAACAAGCCGTGGCGTAGCTTTGTCCTAAACGCAACCGCCGCGGCATTCGCAGATCTCCGGAGCCAGCCTCGCGCAGACGGTTGGGGGCCCATGGAGGGGAAGTTCTCCAGTGTTTTTAGAGTGTGAGGGTCTAGGCTTTTGAGGGAGTCGGGGTTTTGAGGGTGTGGGGTGGAGGGGAGCGGACTCCGGGCTTCGGGTTAACGGGAGCAGGCGAAAAGCTGGATGTGCGCTGCGCGGCCGAGGTGAAGACGGCCTCGGCCCTGGCGCAGCTGCGAACTGACGCGGCGAATCCGGCGCAGGCATCGCAGCCGAGAGTCGTGGTCCGGCCCTTTCCGACTTCTTCCGTGATAGGCCCAAGTGGCTCGTTTCCTGCAGAGGGAGGTCCGGTGCTTTCAAAGGCCGAGGGCTCTGAGAGCTTCGCGTCTCTGCCGGTCAGGCGTCGAGTCTGAACAGCCGGCTTCTCTCCGCGCTTGCGGAACGCGCACGAGCAGACCCAATGGCGAAGGTGTGGGTTCTGCGAGGGTTCTAGAAAGTGAGCAGAACCCCACAGTAACATTTTACAGCACTCGGCCACAGCTAAAGCAGCAGGTCAAGCAGATGATCGAGCAGCTGATTGTGCGACTCAAGGACCAGGCTCGCAAATTGCGGAACATGCTGGAGCTTGGCGACATGTCCTACATGCTAGGCCAAGGAGGAGACGACGAAAAAGGCGCAGACGGGCTCGCGACGACTCGTGTTGCAAACGTCGGCCATCTCTCGCAGGGTTGGTGCGATGCGGAAATGTCGACGAACAAAGCCACGCGCGAGGAGCCTCTGAGCCGACAATGAGCTTTCTCTGTGCCTAGTTCTCTGGATGTGATACAGGATGATGACTCAAATGACGACAGGAGAAGTCCGATGCCGTGAGCAGTTTGCAGGCAGAGATCGACGAGTTGGAGGCAACTGAGCTCCTCAACTGAAGACTGGCTTCAGTACTGGTCGCAGACGACATCTGCAGGCGCACATCAGCAAGCTGGGAGAGGCACGTCCCTTCCTGGGGCGGCCCGAGTCGCGTATGCCTCCTGGCTCAGGAGATCGTCGGCTTGTCCGGTGAGCTCACCGAACTTGACAATGCAGCATCAGAGGCGGGGCTCTAAATCCGAGCCCAATGACCCAAATCTGAATCTTTAAACGCACAAGCCCTGAAGCCATTTAGCCCTAAACGCATTTCCACCAAGCCCCTAAACTTCAAACTCCTAACCCGTTACGTCTCCAAAACTCCTAGCTCCTTCTGCTTCCGTGCAGGCGACCAGTCTCCGGCAGAAGGAGGAGGCCAAGAATGAGGCGCGGGCCTGCATTTTCGTCTTCAGGGTGCCAGAGGGTTTAGGGTTTAGGATTTAGGGGTTAAGGTTTAGGGTTTAGGGTACTACTGCTGCTGCTGCCGACTGCTGCTACGACCAGTACGACTACGACGGCTGCCACTGCCAATGGTAACGGCAGCAACAATAAGAGACTAGTTGTAGTAACATCAGTAGTACCAGTACAGATAAACAGTAATCGTACGATGCTACGAGTTATAGCCAACAGCAATTGCAATAGCAATAGTACTCATAATGTCAATAGTACTGACAAGGGCAACAATCGAAACATTGGTGGTACTGGCGATAATCATGTGAGATGTGATGCTGCAGCTCGAGGCAACGGTCAAGGAAGCAAAAGAGGGCCAGGACTTCCATCCAGGGTGTAGTCTTTCTCTGGAGATGTGTACTGGTGTCGCTATCTGTCGCTGCTTCCTGCCAGGATGCAGTGGCCAAAGCGATAATGGTGCTGAAGGAGCCGCGGTAAAGTCAATCCCAGTCACCATAAAAGTCATGCGGACGTCGACTGAGGACTTCTATGCCAAAGCTGGGAGCTGAACACAATGCTTCTGGCAGATTCGCAGTTGCGGCATTCGAGCGTGGACTTCTGTGCCTAGGCTGGGCAGTCCACGGCGTTGCTGCAGAGCTCTGAGCTGCATGGAGCCCCTCCCGTCTTCAGCGACGAGCCCTACACAGGCGGCGGAGACCTCGTCTCGAGAGGCTTTGCATGGCATTTTTGTGGCGACAGGCATGCAGAAGGCCAAAGGTGGAGTGGTGGCGATGCTGGAGGCTTCATGGCATCCCTCTTCCTTTTGTGGGTCTGGAGATCCTGTTAGCGGGAGGTTGCAGCACACCTCTCGGATTCTTTCGGTTTTGGCATGTCCCCAGGTGATCGAGTCAGACTTCTCTCGAATGGAGGCGGAAGCCACTGCCAGCGAGGCTGGACAGCCATTGTTTTCCTATCTGGGTGGTCATAAGTTGCAACGTACCCATACGAATGAAGATGGAACGGGGAGCCAAGTGTGACTGAGACGATTCTGCGCTCGCAACAGGCAGCGTCAAAGAAAGAGTTTGAGAGCTTTGTGGAGGACCTGCTGTGGGCACGTTGGTGCCGATGACAACGACGATGGTGCTGGTGATGGCGACTGCGATGTCAAATAATGTCAACGATAATACGAATATTGAAGATGAGACGGCGACTCTGCTAATGACGATGGCAACGACTTCGGTGAGGCTGGCAGTGCCGTTATGGTGATGGCTATGATTTTGTTGGTGGTTGTATTTGTGATCACGGTTTCTGTTGGTAACTTTGTAGCTGCTGAACTGTAGCTGTTGTTTTTGGGCTGTTGTCCTTGTACTGTCGGTGGAAGTGGCCTTGGTAGTGGTGCTGACGGTAGAAGTGGTGGCAGAAGCCGTGCTGTCGTTGATGATAGAGAGAGTGCGGTGGCGAAGTTGGTGCTTGTTGATGCTGCTGTTTGTTGTTGCAGTCAGTGTTATGGCTTCAGTTGTTGTGCTTATGTTCGTGGTGGGTGGTGGTTGTTATTTGTTATTATCGGTGTCGTCGTTGTTGTCGTGATTGCTGCGGGCCACGGCTGCCTCTGCATGCTGCAGCAGCTGCTGCTGCTGCTGCTGCTGCTGCTGACTTTCCGTGCTTGCCTGTGTTGTTTTTTCATGAGAATATTGCAGTATGTAGTTGGTGTCATGTGTGGTTGCCAGGAGTCCAAGATCACCAAGGCAGAGAAGTCCAAGGCCAATAAACCCTTGCTTGTCGAATACCTGCTCTTCGCCCTTCCTTCCAGCTTTCTGCTCATCTTGAAGGAGGTAGAGCACAAGACATCCTCGAAGCAGCAGAAGAAGTCCGAGCTCATCACCCTGCAGGCGCGCTGCCCGCACTTGCAAGGAGGGAGTTGGAAGTCACTTTCATGACCAAGGCTGACCTGCAGGGAACTGAGAAGGACTGGAATGGCCCCGGAACCCTAAACCCTAAACCCGAAACCCGTTTACGCGAAAGCTTCCGGGAAACCTCCGAGCACTTTGACTCTGCCGCAGGAGCTGGATGCGGCCGAGGTTTATTTCGAGAAGCTGAAGCCAGACTGCTTGGATGCCCGTGCCCCAGCCACCAGGGGAGCGCTGATTATACTATATTATACTATATTATATTATAGTATATTATATTATACTGTATACTATATTATATTATACTATATTATACTATATTATACTATATTACACTATATTATACTATATTATACTATATTATACTATATTATACTATATTATACTATATTATACTATATTATACTATATTATACTATACTATATTATAATATTGTATTGCATGCGAGAGAGGCGTAGCTGCCTGGCTTCAGGCGGGCCCGAGCTACCAGGAGAGGAAAGCTCGCAGGGAGCAGGAGATGAAGGATCTGAAGGAGGCGCGCCCCGCAGACGCCGTAGAATAAGGGCTATATAGGGTTTAGGGTTTAGGGATCTCTAATCTATAAGGGTTTCTATAAGGGTACTATACTACGTACTCCCCCTGTTTAGGGGCACCATCATACCTTCCCCCCCCTCCGCTTTGGAAGGCCCTGGAGATGCTAGACGCCGCCTGAGAGCACCCTTTTCGCTCTTTAGGACTTTAGGGTTTAGGGTTTAGGGTTTAGGGTTCTTACCGGACGCCGTTTCACAAGAGGCCATAAAGGCTCAAGAGAAAGAGTGTGGCTCACGCTGCTCGCCTGGCCGTGGTTGGGGGCTAGACCGGCTGCATGAGGCTTGCGTCAGTGTGAAAGCCTCCCTCGTGGCATTGTATCAAGCTTTCGCAGACACACGAAGGCGACAGAGATGTCAACCCCATACTCCACACAGCCCAACTTCAGCAGGCCGCTCAGGCAAAAGCACAGTTTATATGTTTAGTTGATTGTCGGAGGCCCTTGGCGTCGCCTGCGACTACATTTCATTTCATGCTCGCGCAATCAGCCGTCAACGAATGCGCCCTCAGCGACTTGAGAATGCCAGGGGACAATCCCAAGCAGTTAGCCAAACCCTGTGACCATCCTCAACCAAGACGGGACAGATTCACAGAGCCCGCCGACTCGTCGAAAGCTGGCAATGCCAGAGGAGCTTCCACCATGGCAGCATTCCAGGCCGCTCTGCTGCTCACTGGAGCGGTCTGTTACTGAGCGGCCTGTTACTCCCTGGCAGGCGGAGTTGAAGTCATGGACAGCCAATCGCATCGGTGACTTGACACAGGCCCGGGATTCAACAAGTCCTCGATAACCCTACACCCAAAACTCTCTGCCTTTCATTCCTCGGCCCTGAGACCCGGGATTCGGACTGCTTGGAGATTGCCGAGTGCATCCTGGAGAATGAGGATCTTGCCGACCCGGAAGCCTTAAAGGCCTGCAGGGGGAGCGGTAAACCGCCTGCTTCTATGTGCTTACCAGAAAAAGATCCATGCGTCGCTTTCTCGCAGGCCTGGCTGAGCCCTTTCGTCACGGAGGAGAGCGCCAAGCACAAGGCTTCCGGGGGTCTGGTGGCCCAAGGAGTCGGTTTAGGGTTTAGAGATTTAGGGTTTGGGGATTTAGGGTTTGGGGATGTAGGGTTGAGGGCTTAGGGCTGCTTAGGGTTTGTTTTTTTTTCTTTTGGGTCCTGGAGCACCAGGAGTGTAAACCTAAACCCTAAATAGCTCAACCCCCAAACCTAAACCCTCCCTAAACCCCTTGAACCCTAAATCCCAAACCCTTAAACCCCTAAACCCTAAACCCAAAACCCCTGAAGCCCTAAATTCCAAACCCTTCAAGCCTACATAAGCCCTAGACTCCGATGGATAATTGTAGTTTTTTGTAGGGATGCCCTGCATGCAGCTCCGTGCATGCTTTGGCGCTCGCTCCTTTTCTCCGCAGCTTCCATTCTGAGGTCTACGTACTTGAAGTTAGGACCCGAGAGGGACTTAAGGCAGGCGGTGTGGTTATACATGGATATACCTTTATAGGGTTTAGGGTTTAGGGTCCATACATATTTCGGGGTGTCTTCACTTAGTTGCAGTTTCGAGCCAATACTGGTAGTTTACCCATGCGTGCTTCCTCTAGCAGGCAGATAGCTTTGTGGAGGCGCTGTTCGAGCAGCGTCCTGAGTCTCGCGCTGTGGGCACCCGACGTCCCCGGAGAGCTCAAGTTTATGCGAAATCAAGGTTGCAGAGGGCCCCTTGGTATGGTTGAAAGTAGGTATTCCTTGGCTCATGAGCCTGTCGTGAGCCTATCCAAACTCTACGGGACCTGGTACCAAGACCACATGAAGCCCTAGAGCTTCAGGCGCTCCTTAAGTTAGGTTTTCCAGATGCTTTGTTGGTCAGAGGCGGAAAGCGCAGATCGCCTTGCTTCAGTCAAATCCTCAAGGCAGGGGGGGTCCTTGGGGTGCGGTCAGATGATGCAACAGCTGGAATATACTTCTCAGACTGCTACTGGCTTTTTTTTCTGGCACGCCTTAGTTACCTGCGGTGGCTTGAACCATGCCTGGTGTTCTTATATACAATATAATACACGAGAACATAATATAGTATAATATTCTATTATACTACAATATAGTATACTATATATTATATATTATAGTGGCCAGGTGCAGCCGGGGGAGAGGCCATGCTGGGCTTTTTTATCGGAAGCTGCGGAGTTGACGTCAGCGGGCAGCCGTGGATGTTCCCCAGGGGGCCAAGGGAAAGTCCAAGGAGGGCAAGGGCGGCCCGAAGGTCCTCCGGAAGTTCGCCCGGGGGTGGTAGGTTTTATGGTTTCTGATCAGAGCCTTTTGGGTGTCAGGGTGGGCGAGGCCGAGATAGAGATGAGGTCAGGGTCCGAGAATGACCGCAGGCGGTTTCGCTTGGCTTCAAGATTTTTTGCAGGACCGTGGGAAGGGCAAGAGTGGCAAAGGCCAGCACTCGTTGTTCTAATCCTGGCACTAGCACTTGAAGCATTGTTGGCACTTGGAGGTGAGAAGCAGAGAGTGCTACCTACCATGGACATGCCCTTCCTGCCTCGCCGCGAGGCGGGGCTGCACAGGCAGAGACTCGTGTCTCTGTGGCTGGGCGGTGCTGGGCCTTCAGGGAGATAAGCGCCTGATGGTCGTGGACGCCTCTTCCGGCCGGCACAACGCCGGCCTCTCGGATGCTCTGCCAGCGTTGGGCCTTCGCCCCGAGCTGGAAAGAAGGTCCTCACGAACTGTCTCAACTGTGGAAAGGCCCGGGGCGGAGGGAGGGCACGCAGGGGTCTGCTCCTTCTTGTGCATTTTTCCTTGCCTTGCACTCGGCAGGTGATCACCGAGCAGGAAGGCCTCTCTTCCTCCTGAGACGGAGACCTTGCAAAAGCGCCTTGGGCCTCGAGTTCTTGCGAGGCTGGGGTCCCTGCCTCTTCTGTGGCAACCCCTTGGAGGCGGTGGAAGCTTTGAGCCAGTCGGATCCGAGAGAAACCTCTGTGTGTGTTAGCAGGTTGGAGACCGTCGGACGGGCATCAAGAGAGGTGATGAGCGAGGTCGGATAGAAGTGGATGGCAGGCCTCCTTGCTCCACAACTTTCAAGAGGTTTATCGACTCTTTTGCGAGCCGCAGGCCAGCTGGTGATGACGACGAACGCTACAATGCCTCGTTCCAGCGAGCGGTTGCCACCAAGGACAGGTATCTTCCATCTTGTGCTAACAGTACAAGGCTGTGTCATTAATACATATATATACATATATATATATATATACATCTATATCTATGTCTATATCTATATCTATATCTATAGCAATACTATCATCAATTTTTTGGAACAGGGGCACCGAACAAAAACACGGATCCAGGACAGGCTGCTAAGCTACGACCGGGACGCGAAGCGAAGGACCAAGGCCAGTGCACCTGCGCCCGGGTTTAGGGTTTAGGGATCAGGGTCTAGGGATGAGGGGTTAGGGTTTAGGGCTAGGGTTTAGGGATTAGGTTTTAGGGTTTACGGTTTAGGGGTCAGGTCTACGACGACGCGACGGACTGGTACTCCGAAGCGGCGAACCCGTGGCTCTCCGAGAAGCAGAGGGAGGAGGTGCCGGCTCGGAGCCCGCGACTGTGAGCACTTATAAGTAGACTAGACTATACTACACTGTAACTATACTGTACTGTACTATACCATGTTAGACTATACGATACTATGCTGTAATATACCATACTATGCCATACTCTAAAGAAGGCAGACTTCGACTTAGCATGTTTCCTCCGTCCCTTTCTGACCAGGCCAAAGCCAAGGGGCAAGATGAGGAGATTTCCCGTTTCTTCTTGTGGGCGGGGGGGCCAGCTTCGAATGTGGGTAGTTTCCCAATCTAGGGTCCCCTTTTTAGGTATGGTATGGCACCCTTATAAAAACCGACCCCCCAAAGGGACCCGAATTTAGAGAACTACCCATGTGCTCGCCAGGAGAGGCGCCGAAGGGAGGAGCGGCGGAAGATCCATGCGACCATCGACATCTTCGGCCGGGGCGCCTGAAGCCCCGACGGGTGAGTCGAGTAGAGAGGCCTTCTATGAAGGCTCCTTTTTAAGGGTTCCCAGAAGGGTTGCTATGAAGGCTCCTTTATAAGGGTTCCCAGACAGAATGGCTGCTTTGAAGAGATCGCTTGGAGGATTTTCTGCAGCTTAGGCCGGACCGTCATTGACACGAGTGCTGATGTTGAGGCCTTCTGTGTACTGCACGGCTCTCTCTGCTTCTTTCTGCTTTGCGAAGCCACGCCGGCCAAGTGCCTTGAGGCGAACATGAAGAAGAAGGACGCTGAAAGACTCGATGGCAATCAGTGGAGTGTTCAGGGGATCATGATTTGAACACAGGATCGAGAGACGTTTCAAGAGTGGACCGAGGGGGTCATCCTGCCACGATTGAAAGCAACCAACTTGTCACGGATCGGGCTTCGTTCGACCGGGCAATCGAAAGTGAGCCGCCGCTACCGGCTTTTCATGCTGCCCTCCTTGTGCAGACTGTCTTTCTCATGTACAGGCCTCCTGATGATCTGCATCGTTGCCCCTAAACCCCAAACCCTAGACTCTAACCCTAAACCCGCAGTCCCTGCGCAATGCCGAGTAGACTCGATTCGAACCCTGACCCGTACCACCCCTCCTAAACCCTGAGCTGAACGTTTGGCAGACCACGAAGAACCAGCGCCTCCTGAAGATGCTGGAGGTGCCGACTTGTCGTTCCTGCATGTTGGAATAGAGGCATGGGGCTAGGGCTGCTCTTCGGTTCGGTAGTAGAAAAGTCGAAAAAGCACTTGCACTTCTGTTTTTTCTTGCTTGCACTGTCTGGGAGTCTATCCCATGAGGATTGGGATGGGGACGCACCCTTGCAGCTCTCTGGCCGAGAAAGTAGATTGCATAGTCAACTGTCCGCCATCCGACATGGTTCATCAACCGCGCCTTGAATGAATCAGCTTTCAAGAGCGAGGCAGTTGTCAGCAAGTTGCATCCTTGATGAGGACGGAAGGCTGCACTTACGAGCTCAACGACGAGTTCATCAAGAACACTTTCATCCATATTCCGGCCCCACCAGAGCCCGAGGAGCTCAAGCGGGGACGCACCGCCCCCCCGCAGGTGGGGTTGAGGTTTAGGTGAGATAATCAGATTCAGAGTGATTGTATGTAAATGTAGATGTATACACATATCTATATACAAGCACATACGTATATGCACACACACACACACGCACACACACACACACCGAAGTTTTTATTCAGATTTACATTCATATTCACATTTTCTATGTATGTACATGTGTATACATACATACATGCATGCATGCATACATACATACATACATACATGCATACATGCATACATGCATACATGCATACATGATTACATGCATACATACATACACATATGCACATCTGCATGTATACATGTATATGTATATGTGAAAAGTATGATATCGCACATAACATAGAGTTGTGCAGTGTGCAACTATCTTCATTCTTAGTGTTGTTGTGATTGCAATCTTTGTTCTGTTTCGTATCCATGTTGCCACTGTCGTTCTTGCTACAAAAATCGTGTTAACAATAGCAAGACTAATAGCGATGATAAAGCCTGACTAGTGATGATAAAGCCTGAACCCTCAAACCCCAGACTCTGCACCAGAAACCGTGGAATAAACCCCAACGGTAAATACTCACAGAAAGAAGAGTGATGATAAGTCCTAAACCTTGAACCCCGATCATTTCCAGCAAGACTCGGAGTTGCAGAGAGTCACCCCCAACCCGAAACCCCTAAACCTTAAAACCCCGAAGCCCCCAAATCCCGACAAGCCCCCCTCAACTCGTCTGCAGGTTCATGACGTGGACACCGACCGCGAGCCCGAATCCGAGGCCGAGCCTTGTGTGGAGCCCGTGGAGTCACTGAGACTCCGTCGGAATAAGCAAAGACCATGATCTTTATTCTGGCTACTACGACCTTATTCGGGCGATTCTGATTTTGGTCTAGCCATTATGCTGTTATTCTGGCTATTGATTGCTATTGTCAGTAGTGTTAGTGTTACTACATGTATGTTATTACTGCCACTATCATTCTTGTTCTGTTGCACTGTTTTTTGTCATCATGGCTGTTGTTTTCACAAAAAAAGGGGAACATCGTAGGGTTTAGGGAGGGTTTAGGGTTGAGGGCTTAGATGATGAAACCAAGAGCCCAGGAAGCTTCCTGACTTCGGCTTGAAGCTTCCGGACTTCACGCCGCTGGGGCTTGAATCCCAGGGATGTGGGGTTTAGGATTCAGGAGTTGTTGGGTTTTGTGTGGGGCTTCAGGGGTTTAGGGATTTTAGGGACTGGGGGGTCTGCGGCTGTTTTGGGCTTAGGGTCTCCAGACTTCACGAGGTCCGACTCCTCTCACCACATTTTGGGGCTGTTCTTAACAAGCTTAGTTTGAGCTACCCTACTGGATCGGTTCTTTTGTTGCACATCTCAAAGTATGCTAAGCTGCCCAGCTCAACGTGCGGCGCATTCGCAACGACATCTCCCGATCATGAACTGAACAAGAACCGAGGAATCCATGGACGGAAATCGAGAACACTGTGCCCTGCCCGGATATGCTTTGCCGTCACCGCACACACGACGTCTTTGAGAATGGAGATGGCCACGGCATGACATGGCCGATGTACCCCGTTGAGGGAGGCTTGGACGTTGAGGGACAACTTGAGATGGACGAGTTGAACTACGATGCAAGCTTTGGCCAGGGAAGCCAAGGGAACGAGATGACGAGTTTCGTGCATGGAGCCTGGGAAGGACAGGTTGGAGTCCAGACAGGTGAGGTGATGCATCCGGCACCAGGTACAGCGGTGTTCGTCCGCTCCTCAGTGCGTGCACGGCGCAGAAGGGCCAAAGATTTTTTTGTCTGTTCTGGTCCGCAGGGCACCACAAGAAAACGACCCAAGGTCTTGCACCCTCCATGCATGGCTTCAGATGGTGGCTTTGGCAGTTCCCAGCCCTACCTGGTGCCCATGCACATCAGCCCCGTGAACTCCATGAGCCCCGAGAATCTCGGCTGGCAGATGCACGCCATGTCTTCACCGAACTGGTCGGGGGAAAGCCCGGCGTCTGAGCTTCCCTTCACGTCGCCAGTTGTGCCCATGCACAGCTTTTTTCCAGAGGCAGGTGAGGAAGTTCCGCAACAGGACGTCGTCAAACTCCGCAAGGAAGACTTGCTCCCGGAGTGCGACGAGATCTCGGAAGTTACGCCTGCACTCTCTGACATCGACAAGTTCTGGGATGGACTTGGGGTGGACATGTTGCATCAGCCCCAGAAGATCGGCCGGTCACCGAACATGGAGCACGTCTATTGGGTGGTGGATGCCAACAAGCTCAACGACAAGGCGAAGGTCTTGGTCTCGCCGGAGTTCAAGGTGGGGAAACTTCCGAAAACAGGGGGACCCCAATGTGTAGTACCCTAAATAGTAGGATCCTTATTATAAGGACCTAAACCCTAAACCCTAAATAGTAGGATCCTTATTCTAAGAACTTAAACCCTAAACCCTAAAAAAGCAGGGTCCTCAGGAAAAAGGACCCCAAAAGAGGGTACCCTAAACCCTAAACCCCCCAGCCCGGCCGTCCCATCGGCTCCTCCCGGTAGGGAGTTTCGGCTACAAACTTTGCAGTTGGAAAAGGGCCCGCAAAAAAAA